TTTTTTATTTCTACGGGTCAGTTTATATAACGTTATCTAACACGTTCGCTCCCCCCTCCCCCTCCTCTCCTCCCCTCCCCTCCCTGTCCCCCCTCTCCAGGTCGGCTCAAAATCGATGAGGGTTCCGTTAAAGGTGAACTAACCTCGATAAACTTTGACGGCAACGACGTCACGCTCGATCGTATCAAAGGAAGGTTTCTCTCAGTTGACCTTGACATTGATCGCGATGGCTTTTTTTCTTCTTCTAGTCCAGCCTGTACAGCGGCCGCTGAACAAATCGCAGGGAGTGACGCTTTACGATCATAGGAAACGGTCCAGCGAGCACGCCGAGTCGAAGACTTCTTCTATTTCTTGCTTGGACGCGTGTCTCTCTGTCTCTACTGAATAATCAAGCTGATCGAAGAAATCGGTTCAGAGTTCGTCAACTGATGATCAGCTGGCTAATTGGATGAGTCATTTTTCACAACTTCGATTTTTTTTTTTTTTTTTTTTTTTTTCCTTTCGAACGCTTACGGCATCGTCATTTTGCCGAATCGAGATGACTTTTTTGGTGGGCCCCCGTTGTTATCCCGAGGGAAAAAATTGACGACGCCATGCTTTCTTGGGCGACGATCAGGGGTCGGTAATAACGTGGGGGAAGGAATGGATGATGTAGATCAGGATGAGGATCAAGGGAAGATGAGTGTAGTCAACTCGGGTCGGCGTGCTTATATTGTAGGATTCTAAACTTTAGGTGCCTTGCCATATCAGCGTGGTAGATGAAAAAAAACAATAATGGACGAGCCTAGACTGCTCATCCTAGGCTTATAGAATCGAATGTCTCGGTGTGTGTATGCGTGTGGATGGATGAATATGAGAGAGATGTACGAGCCAGTAATGGACACGAGGCTGTAAAGATCGGACGAAATAAAAACGGAAACCTCAAATATACGAGAACAGGGATTTCGCGCCTTACCTATGTATACCCATGTAAAAATCCTACAATATTATACGGCTGGACGGAATTACATCGTGAGTCAGACGAGCAACTAGCGACGGCGGAGGAATAGGACGTTCCGTTACGACAAAGGAACTCGGTCGGTAAGGAAGGAGTTCGCTCGATACTTCGCGTGGAAATAACGTTGAGTCTTCGTGCCGGACATAATTATTCTCTGTTGCGCGCGCTGCTATTTTCTTGATCCTTGACAATGTGGGGGATATCTTTACGAACACTTTGAATAATCCGGGTTACAGGTTTGGTTTCGAGTGAAAGTAGCTTCGAGGGGCCATCTTTCCTATGGATTTCAAGGTAAAGGAGTCACCTGGATAATATATTTGACTCGTGGAAACGACTCTGGGTCAATTCTTAACGTGCATTTTATCAACTGGATACTTTTTGGGCGACTTTGATTGACTACAAGATGGCGTGAGGTGGGTTTGGTTTATTTACCAAAAAAAGACTCGACCTTTGTTATATCTTGCATGTTCGAGGCGTACGGGGAATACGTATTACGGCACTTCTCGAGGTCAGCGACTTTGCTGTCAAGAATCGTAACCTCGTATTTTAACACGGAATTAGGTAAATGGGTCTATCAGTGTTTTGACTTTTTTTTTTAAGTGTTGACTGATTTTTTATTTATATCGTTTCGATGAAGTTGCTTTTTTTTATTCTTGGGTGGGTCCTCTCTACCCTGATAAACTTGTTTACAAGGGTCAGCACGTACTGACGTACATCAACATACGTCTGGGTACACAGCCACGTACGCGTTCAGCCATAGTGAGATTTTGTTGCTATCCGCAGACTCATCTTCCCTCATCTCTTCCTTATCGTTTCTCAAGGTTTTCTTCTCTATCCGCCCGTTCACGTATTGAAATAGTGATCGTGTCTACATTATTAATTCGTATCAAGTTTCGCTACCGGAACGAGACAGCAGAGGTCTTATTTGTCACTGGGAGCTTTATAAAAGCAGGCAGAGCATATTTTGAAGCTCTTTCGCTGCGAGTCTTGCACGTGCGAATATATCTGTTATGCGAGTCAGTTTTCCTTTTACGTTTTTTTTTTTTTAGTTTTATGTTATTTTCACACGAATCCAATGGCGCTGACTGCGGGATTCGCGAAGTAAATATTTTGTGGAAAATACGTATCTCTGTTTTGAAATGAGGAGCGTATTGTAGATTTTTGAAAAAAGATACAATATTTCACTTTTATTACTCAAACTTGAAAATATTATTGGGGATTTGTGGAAAAATTTTTTTTCTTTATTCAATACTGCTTTTCAAAAATGTATAAGATTTTCAAGTTTGTTTCGTGAGAAAAATAATTTTTAAAAAAATTTGTTTTTCTGTCCCACCTTGCACTGATCGCAATGCATGTTGAGATTGCAAAATTGGCAAAAAAAATTTTTAGAATTTATCGATTCTTGTTTTCATTCGATGTATTGGCTTGGCAAGAAAGTAATTTTGGTAAATTACTTTCGGAAATGACTTTCTTGCCAACCCAATATTTTGTGGTAAAGGAAAAAAAAAATCGAAAAATACAATTAACGCGTGTCTTTACTATTTCCTTTGTAGAATCAATGCTAAACGGGCTTAGGTGTCTTATTTTTTTTTTTTTTTTTTTTAAAAAAAACTAGTCAAATACCTTCAATACCTTTTGATCGGTCGTGACGAAATTTCATTTTATACAGGATTGCCAATACGAGTACCAACTGTTTTGTTCTGTAAATAAAAATGCCCATTGCTCGACAGGAAATCCGCGGAAAGCGGGTCGATTCGAAATAATGCTGGCGACGCCTGGCGTCGCTAATGCAGCGTTGAGAAAGTAGATCTCGCAACCTGCCTACCTATATATCCAATTGACAAGACAAAGGAGACTGGCTCTATCGATTGTCCGATCAATATTTTTTTTTTCTTTCTTAATTAAATGCAGTATCATTAATTATAAATGCTTCGATCAATGCTACAGGCGGCGCAATGTTCGCACGAAGTTTCGTCAGCCGATCGGAAAAATCTTTCCGAGGAAAAACGGTACTATCATCGCGCTATAGATATAGTGGGACGCGCGAGTTAAGGCGGAAACGGTGCTCTGTGAAAAACAGGTATTCCGTATGTGCCAATGCGTAATAATTACGTGACAGTTTTATGCGTGAAACAGACGCTGAATTAATGCGTCCTCGTGTCAATTACCGTGTCGATGGGGAAAAAAATAATAAATAAGTACAACCGGCAGGGACGTTCGTTCCGTCGCCATTGACTTTTAATCATTTTGTCATTTCGTGATCGTGTTTAAATTTTATATCCGAAATTAATATCACGAATTGCGGTAAACAGCTGAAAAAGTAATTTCGATGACTGAACGTTATTTTTGTGAAAAAAATTTTCGAATTTTTTTTTTCCAAAATTCACAAGAATTCTTCTTATCAGTATTTATCGACTTTTAACCACCTTAGATCTTCTTAGTGCCTATTTCGCACGTGCTTATTTTGTTATTCTGACAATTACGTCAATCTTCCCCTTGACTGCTTCGTAGGTTTGAAAATATTTTTTTAAAAAAAATTTCATAATTTTTCGATAATTCGATCGTAACGTATGTAACGTATTCATGGCTTTTATTACAGATTCCATTTACGTCGCTTGATTTTCCGGATCCAGCGATCGTAACATATGGTTAAACGGGTTAGGTTACTCGTATTAAAAAAAAAAACACATCAATTACTCAGTGACATTATTAATTGTTAATTATCACTGTCTTTCATACTCCAGCTTGAAGTTTTATCAGCAGTAAGTGTACTGCCTTGAAAATTTATGTATTATACCATACGAGATAAAATGACGTGTCATACGGGTTAAACTGCCGACTCAAGATTCACTGTGAAATTAATTAACCGATTGTTCAGACTCGATCTTAAAATTCATCTTCTCAAAATAGTCAGCGATGCCCTGCTTGGAATCTCTAGTCTGCTGCACCCGTGCATACGAAGTACAATGGAACAGCCAGAGATACCTTCTTCCCCCCCAGAAGAGGATCGGCTCGTTGCGGAGGCTGCGCGACTCTTTAAAAATAATATTATATTTCCGTGAGTCTGCGTCATAGGATTCAGATGACCTCTCCACTCCCTGGTAGTTGTACCCTTGAGAATCTTTGCATATGTGTACTCGAACCGAAGTCCTTTGTTCGGTGTAGGAATAAAAGATTCATCACACTCGCGGAGGGGCCGACGGGTTTAGCATTGACGAAAAGGTCGAATCGGTCGGTAAGGTAGGAACGGAGTTAAAAATTAATGAAATTCATTTTCTTTGTATCATATCAATTTTTTCCACTCTAATCTCTATGGAAATTGTAACGTGCGTTAATTTTTACGTAAAAAAAAATCTAGTACTTCCGTTTCTCCTTCTACTGTTTTCCACGTGACGCTAAACGCTTCGGCACGGTTTAACGTGCTTGGAAACGAAATGTTCAAAGCGAATTCCTATGAGAATTTATTAATCCGTAGCCTTTGCACGTAATGGCGTGATTTTGTTTCTTGCATCGAAATACATTGATATTCATACGACTGGAACGTGGAAGCACATGTTTTTTTCAGACCGTAACGATCCGCCTAAAAAATTCAATGACATTATTTTTTTTTAGAAAATCAATTTTTACAATAAACACGCTTATCGGAGCTGGTCGCGATCGAATGAAACGTATCGAGACCTACGGAGAGTGTTTGAATAAAAAAAGTTGTAATCTTTGCGTTAAAATGTTAATTACAGTAATATTTCATTAATATGAGATATTAAATTTTTTTTTATGTCAATTTACGTAAACTACCATTTTCTCAGTGTAATCGATTCGTCGCTATAATTCAACTTTTTTTTTTTTTCACCCACAAACCCACGTACCCGTCACTTATTTGCTTGTACGCGTTGAAAATTAATCTTACGCGCATGCGCAGTACCGTTTACCAACTGCGTGTTATTCCGGACCCCGTGACTTTTTTCAATGGGTTAAAGTCAGCCGCTCTTACTCGTCTGTCCAGATTGACTTAAGCTCTAGTACTACCAGCTGAAGTTGCGTAATCCAAGATAACCGATCAGGAAGACGGTTAGAAAGCCGCCGAAGCCCACGATCCCTCTCACGAAGACTCGTCCAGCTGTACGTACTGTACAGATCGTATAAATATTCGTGAAAACTTTCTCGTTACACGCATCCTGCTCCCAGTCCCGACGCATCCCCGTACCTGGAGCATCTAAAACAGAGTGATCTTCGAAGATAACAGTACCCCGTGGATCCCCGTGCAAGAAACATATTTCGTGCGCCTGGTAAAAGTGTTCACTTGGAGGGGGAAAAAAAAAAAATTGGAAATAAAAAAATGAATCACCAATTCCACATATATCACACTGCAGCAGTAAGTTGAGATATTTTTATCATTATCAAAAAAAAAAAAATTTGTTTCCATAGCAATGTCTCCTTTTAACATTCAGTTTCCTGAATTATTACGTATTTGGTATGTTTAGCCGTTCCCCTAATCGTGTTATTAATTTTCGCTAATAATATCTCGGTCTTAGGTCACTCGAAGTTAAATTTATCAGATGACAGCACCATTTGACGAAAATATCAAAATATTTATGCTCCGTAATAATCGTCATCACGCGTTCGCTACGCCTTACGGAATTGCCCGCGATGTCCGATTAGACTGTTGTTATGATCTTGCTCGTGCGGTAAGCTTAAGGCAATTCACAAGTACCAGATCACCTTGTCCGATAAGCCTCCGTGAAACGACTCACGGGTGATTCGTAATTGACACGAGAAATTTATCGTACAACAGTCATTCTCGTAATTTGAAATTCGCACGGAGCGCGGGAAGTACATCAATTCAAGCTTGTGGTTGTTAATTATTAAACTCATTAAGAACGTTAATTAGTACGAATATCATTCTCATTGACGCGCCTTCGAACGAATTTATTCGAATTTATTCGTATACGTATCGTCACTGCTGGCGTCATTTCTCTCTTTATTGTGATCTTATTCCTCGTCATTATTGTCGTCATATGCTGATCGCAGAACAAATATTTACGCCTTATTGATCGTCATTATCTGGCAAGAATGTCATTGTTGATCCTCAAATTACGTGGGACGTGGCCCGATCCGCGTAATTCTACGGTCGACCACGATTTACCGGACTTGTGTCATGACATATATATTGGACTTCGAGATATGGAACTTACTACTGACTTCAAGTCGTCCCACGATGTGTTAATGTCTGTCCACAGTGATTAAAAAAATAATGATACGAGATTGCGTTAAGTCAAAGCGGATATTCATGGGGAATCACTCAACAGCCATTAGTGCGATCATCCAAGGTTATGTCTATATATTGAAGATTGTTTTTTTTTTTAAATTAACTAAAAAAAATTTTTTATTACGAGCCTCGTTAACGCGCATAAATTACATACTCTGTACACTCTGTACACTCTGTATACTCTGTATACTCATTACACTCTGGAACCTACGTATAAATTTTACTATAAGGACACAGTGTAACTGTTCCATGCTGGAATATATTATTACAATGATATATCATACGTAATACGATTTATACTATAACAATGTAAATTGATCATACGGATCACTTTAGTATACCAGTTCGAAACTGATAAGTCACCCGAGAACGTATTCTTATAAATAATTATCGATCGAGCGCTTATTATTTTATTAATCTCAACCGATTTTACACGATCGTTGTATCTAAAGACAATTTCTTTCTCTACTCTGGGATCCGATTATTTTCCAGGGATCGCCAGCGCGGAAACAGGTCGCGTTACAGATCACAGAAAAGGGCCTTCCAGTAGTCGTATGGTGGATATCGTGCAGGCGGACCATAAACGTCTCCGTTTCCACGGTTTGCCGCTTGTCGTATTCACTCGTGGCGCCACCGTCTACGGCCTCGTGTCGATTACTCTCTGGCTATGGTTATCCCTGCGTTCTCAGTGATTCTTGTGCAGGACGTCGATATATTTCTTTCTGTGGTCTTTTAATCTTTCTCTTTTCTCTTATTCTTTCTATTCTTTGTCATTTTATTAGCATACCCATTGACTCGCGACACGTTTTAAGGATGCATAACTGGGCTATTTTATTTGTTTTTTTTTTTTTAATCTTTTTAAGCATTTTTTTTGGGTTCTTGTCTGACCCCTCCCTGATAACTAAATATCAATCAGCTTTGTCGTACGTAATACGATGTCTGGCGTACAATTATAATAACAGTTGCGCATGAAATTATATAAACTGCGAGAAAGTTATACACTGCTGTTGCATTATGGGTTTTCTTCTTTTTGTATGTGAATAATTATGTGTCATGGTAGGTATGAATTATGTGACGATTGATTAGGGGTTACGATTGATAAAATATATTGGTAGTATATATCTGTAACGATACCACGTATCGATAGTGGTCTTTGTATTTTTGAACGATTAGTTAATTAATGGTAATTCTGTGTTTCTTCGAAACACGTTATCTCAGACAGGCTGCAATAAAACGTCTTTTTGGTAAAATGTTGTAAAGTCATTCGACACGTTATAATAAAACTTTTATTTAACTATCCTATACGCTTAACCTTTAAAGTTGTTTTTAAATTTTTTGGCATATTGTTTTTTTTTTTTTTTTCGAGATATAGAATTAAGCGATTGATTAGCAAGAGTCACGCGATCTCCAAGTGTCTCAAAGGTTTCCAGCGGTTTAAAGATTAATGTAATTTTGATTGAAGTTAAACAGTTATAGTGAAAATTTTTTTTTTCAAAACCATACAAATTCTTATAGTTCGTGTTACACGACTCTTTCGGGCGTATTTGGTAACGTGTAATAACCTTTTTTAAAAGTTCAAGGTAGAGAAACTCGTTTGTGTCATTTCTTTGAAAAATTATTAAATTCGCGTAAAAATTTATTAAGGATACATAATGGGCAGTGTCTATGTATACTAATGAGCATAATGATAATAATCTTTTTTCTTATTCGATACTAACGAGTGATAAGAGTCGTTGAAAAAATAAAAAAAAATTTCCACTTGCCGTCGTAGCTGCTGCCTTTCTTTGGTTTCGCATGCCTAACGGCGACTACGTCGATCATGCGAAATGACTGTTGGCCCTCAAGGCCGCAAAACTACTATGTAAAAGGAATTGAAATAGGAAAAAAAAAAACATGTGTACACGCGTGTGCGAATGTTCGCGAAACGCAGACTTGTGTCTCATAGGGAGCGATATCACGATTCCTGTACTCCTGTATCTCAGACACGTGTGGAATATTGGACTTACGTTGTTGGGGGAAAAAAAAATAGCAGTTTTGCTTACGGATCTAAAGCATCGTATATGGCGAAATATATCAATGTTAGCTTTAATTTCGGTTCCTTGTCGTATCCTGTGACCATAAATAACTGGTGATAAAATTTTTTTTGGGTTTGGGAAAAAAAATTTACGAAGAAACCATAGCGTATTATTTTTGACAATAACGATTTAGTTTTAATTTTCGAATTTTTGAACCTAATACTACGAAGCTTGCTATCTGTAGCTTTAAAGAGCGACACTCGGCGTCAAATACCACGAAATGCCATAATCCAGAAATTGTTTTGAATCAGACGAAATTTAAAAATCTCGAATGCGCTGATATTCGAATTTCCGAGTGAGAGGCGAACTGTGAATGTTAACTTTGAAATTGTTACAAGCTGATTTGGTGACGACGAATGTACATACTTAATGGGCGACATACTGAGATACACAGTGACTTATATCCAGTTGTTATTTTTCTATGACTTTCGAAATAAAATTTTGATAACTTTCGAAAATGAGACAGAAAAAATTCCCAAAATAATTTCCAAGAAAGCGAAAGGTCATCAATCTGTTATCGAGTAACGGATAATAATTGGCATGATTTTATGCATGGATATAACACGGACTCGTCCGGAGTCTCACGGACTCAAAATAAAAATATTCATATAAATCCACTTATAATTTATCAACATGATATACGTTATAGAATGCGAGCACTGACAACGCGATATGAAAAAAAAAAGAGATTGCTCTTTTAACCTGGAAAAAAATAGCACGTGTCATGAGAAAAAAAATCTTATTGTAAGACAGCAGCAAAAAACGTCAAATGTTCCTTATTAATCTTCCATGTATAATCAAACGTGACAACGACCACCAGCAAACGCGTTACACGTAGAGGAAAAGCAACGTGTTCGATTGAAATTAAACGAAAGAACCACCCGGTATATTTGTGCGCGAATTATGCCCGACCTTCATTTTTTTTTGCAACCACCTTCCTCCTTTTTCTTCGTCAAGACGTATTTCCATGCCCTTCGATACCGTGGACCATTTGATAAATTTTGGAAAAATAGAGCCACGTGGTAGTGACCTTAAAAAAGATTGGTTACACATAACGGCACAACACGACCGAGTGACTGACTTTTGTATCGAACAAGAAGGAGGAACAATCGAAGAGACGACGAAGGAGGGGAGTTATAAGTTGATCAGGGTGGGAGTTTATTAAATCGTCGTGGTGGGGAGAAAAAAAGAGTGGCTGATATCCGGGTCATCCGAATTGCGGGAGTACTTGCTCTTTGGGTACCGTTGTGTTCGGCAAGTGTCGCTTGCCCGGTATAAATTATCGAGAGTGTCGAATTAAGTGCATCATGGAAATACCGGTCAGTGAATAAAATATTAAAAAATTGTATTGTCCACGGTATCGATAAATTTGGCAATAATCATTTCCGCCGATGAGATCGCACCAGGGTCACTGTATGATCGTATAAATAATGTGAAAAAAAAATTAGGTCATTGAAATTTAAAATTGTCGTTTTTCACGTCTTCCGAATGACACATCGGATGGATGAACTTTTTGGGCTTGGGCCTCTGGGCCTTGCGTTAGGTTTGTTCGTGCGTGACGTCGACACTGAATATTTGTTAACGGGACCGGCTGCCCATTGGGAGTGGAAAGAGAAGAACAGAGAAAGGATGAAATTCTCTGACCGAGATCATAAAATCAGTTGGGTCGGTCGCTTCGTCGTGAGCATCTTTTGGTTGCTGGGTTTATATACGCGGATAGAACGATTCTCACTTTCAAAAGGCGGGAGAATACGGTTGTACGAGTTATTAATGGGATGCAATTAAATGCCGTGAATTTAACCTTAATTCCTCGTAACACTTGCACTTGAACTTTCGCACGTTTATTTTTGTCGTACATATTTTTCTGACCCACTGTCAACTCCATTGAGTCCTCGTTGATAGAGATATTTACGTACGAACTGTTCGGTCGGTACGGCAGTTACCTACAGTTTTACTTAATACCAAAGGAGCCACTCGGCGATAGTAATTCAACGGTCAAACCGACTTCTTGAAATTTTAAACGTATTTGAAATATTTATTATTTGCCTTAGTGACGCATTTTCACAGTCAAGCATGTCAAACGTTAATGCTTAAGGACACTACGAAAGTCATTTCTCTGGTGAACGCGATACGGACGGGATACTCGATAAATTACGTACTCGTAGTAATCGACTCTTTTCTGGTGTATCGAACTGATGTCTCGTTAATATCGCTAGAAAACGACTGTTTTATTCGTTCAACACGGGTGCCGTACTGACTAGCGTGAGTTTTGGGATTTTTCGAAATACGCCTTTATCAGCAAAATTCCAAATCGTATTTCGTTCGTTCTTCGGTGTGACGGTTGAAAGTGGGATTTAACGTACCTTTATACGAAATTCATGGAATTCGCTATTATATCAATATTTCATAATAATATATTGTCCATACATGCGTATATGCGTGGTTGTGAAATTCCTGAACCGTGAAATTTCTTTATTTGGTGATTCAAGGTTTTCCTGGAGCACCGCTGCAAGGATGAGGTAGGACAATTGGTCAGCGCCAAAACTCATGGCGCTACGCCTCTCGTGATGGCTTGTCGAAATGGGCACTACGACGTGGCGCAATATTTAATTGAAAAATGTGGAGCAGACATCGAGCAACCTGGTTCCGGTGAGTCGAATGAGAAATAATAATGAAGTAGCCGCCCCGCGTCTGTAAGTTTCAAAATATCCGAGGTCTCGTAAGTATCGCGAGGAAGATAAAAAATATTTTTTAAAAATAAAAATATTTCGAACAATGAATAAAGTTCGAAAAAAAATTTTTTCTTCAAAAATTCTCGTTTCCCGGTAACACTTTTGCCGCCAGTGATATAAATGTCGAAATTACCGAAAATTAACGTAAGCATTAATTCTTAACGATTACTGAGACAATTTGTTGTAAAATTTGTGTAAAAATATGTAAAATCACGCAACAGCCGGCATACCTAACGTACGTCCGTTAGTTTGACATTAATCTTCTTAGAGGCGCAAATGCGAACGTTGCTTTCACAATGAACGAGTCAGCTGGCACAGTATGTTCTGAGAGTACAGGAAGCTGGGTCCATTGAGATTTATTTTTCGTATAAGCCAATGGAAGAAAATATATTAATGTACCGTTAAAATTTCAGTTGTCTTCGACGGCGAGACGATAGAAGGTGCGCCGCCATTGTGGTGCGCTTCCGCAGCCGGTCACCTGCCTTTAGTGAAGCTTCTAGTAGGTAGAGGCGCTAAAGTCAATTCGACGACGAAAACAAATTCAACCCCACTCAGAGCTGCTTGTTTCGATGGGCATTTCGAGATCGTCAAGTTCCTCGTGCAGTGCGGTGCAGGTACTAGTAAAAGTAACTCGTTAGTTTTTACCCCATAACGTAACGTCTCGAATAAAATGATAAATGCTTACCGAATAACTTCTTGTTACAGACATTGAAGTTGCAAACAGACACGGCCATACTTGCCTGATGATCGCCTGTTACAAGGGTCACATAAAAATTGCCAAGTTCCTACTTGCTCTGAAGGCGGATGCCAATCGTAAATCCGTAAAAGGTAACACGGCGTTGCACGACTGCGCGGAAAGCGGCTCGCTCGAGATACTAAAAGTACTGGTGGAACATGGCACCAGGATGGACGTCGATTCCTACGGGATGACGCCGCTCCTTGCGGCAGCCGTGACAGGTAAATGAGAAGGGACAATTCAATCGGCTTGTGGCCTTTTTACCCGAGAAAACATTTTGCGAAGAAGTAGGTCGTTCAACAGTGACATTATTTCCAGGTCACACGCATATTGTCGAATACCTCATTGGAATTCCACGGTTGGTCAGCAGAAAGGAAAAGATTGACGCTCTCGAACTGCTCGGTGCCACTTATGTCGATAAGAAGCGAGATATGATTGGGGCGCTTGAATTCTGGAAATTGGCAATGACAGAAAGGTATCAGCGGTGTCTTGGTTCAAGTATTGCTAGGGAAAATTAGTGAAAGATTGTGGTTGGTAATTATTATGATTTTTCTATTTATTGGGTGATTTTAATAATTGCGATTGATTTGCTTTGCTAGATACCGTACGGACGCACCGATAATATCAAAACCATCTCCACCGCCAGCCGTGCAAGCTTACGATTATGCTCGTGAAATTTCCGATCCCGATGCTCTGGATGAACTACTAGCCGAACCGGACGAGATGAGGATGCAGGCTCTTGTTATCAGAGAACGAATATTGGGTCCGGCCCATCCCGATACCAGTTACTATATTCGATACAGAGGAGCTGTTTATGCCGACGCGGGGAAGTTCAGTCGTTGCATCGAACTCTGGAACTACGCCCTTGATATGCAGCAGAGCATGATGGAACCTTTGAATCCAATGACTCAAAGCTCGCTCTTCAGCTTCACGGAGCTCTTCAGTTTTATGATAGGCGAGGAGGGAAGGCAGACTAGCAGAGGCCGAAGAGTACCGTCTGTTCAACGTGAAACGCTCACCGCGGTGTTCAAGAAAGCGGTAAGCCAGAGAAAAATCCGTACAATGTTATTCAAAGTATAAATATAGACCGAGGGTTCATTAGCTTTGATAATTTTCAGGTACTGGAGGTCAGATTGGGAAAGCAGATGCTGGACAAGGTACCGCCCTGCGAGCGTGATCTGACTTATCTCAATCGTGTTCTGGTAATCACTCTCCACTTGGCTTGTCTGTTGACCCGAGAAACTCCACCGGAAGGTTCCGAAGAGTACACCGCTCTCCACAAGGCTGTCTATGAACTGGTACGAATAAACGCCAAAGGAAAGCAGGTCAGTGAAGATTGTAATTGTGCAGTGGCGGTGATACATTGATTCACTCGCGTTAAAATACTTATTATAAATATTCACTTTAACAGGGTAGGGACGCTTTGCAGTTGACCTATAGCAAGGATGCCGCCCTTGTAGGCAGGTATCCAGCCTGCGATTTTCCTTCGCCACACTTGACAACAGCCCTGTTAAAGGCTGGTGCAGATGTGACAGCACGCGACGTCGACGGAAACACAGCCCTTCACTTAGCAGCGCTCTCCCATCCATGGCGTCCCGATCTGGCCACCGCATTATTGGATGCTGGTGCCCACATAGACGCAGTAAATAAGGAGGGTCAAACCGTCGAGACTCTCCTCAAGGACAAGTATCTCTACGACGCGGTGAACCCGCTAAAATACACCACCCTGGCGTGTCTCGCCGCAAGGGTCGTTCGAAAGACCCACCCGCTCGAAAGGGTGCCGAAGCATCTTCTATCATTCGTTCAGATGCACTAGTGACACACCTGATACCGGAGAGATTGTCTTATTCATTTGATCCAACGGACATCGAACACTGCCCAGATATCGCTGAGGTTGACGATTACGAGAACCCGTTCATCTATATAAGCATCCTTTGCCCAATGAGAGGCCGCTCGTGGTGGTGTGCAAAAGGGTACTCCATTTTTTTTCTCCTCCTTTTTGCTCAGCTCGTGATCCTTTATTTTGTTCTTCACGATCGCGAGCTTTCTCATGACCATTTATCACATTCGTCATCATCCTTCCTCTCTTCTTTATCGACAGGGAAGATTTAACTCTATCGCCACTGAACTGATCCTCAGAATTTGATTTAATCTCCTTCAGACAATCTGTTCGGTATCGGCAATGATATTTTAAGAAGTTGACTCTGAAGTACTTACCCGGAGTGGTTCCATCATCGATGGCCAATAGGTTATATCGTGTTACGTCCTCTGCACGGTGTCAAAGTTGGCGACGCGTAGCGTTATTACCGCAATCCCTTATACATAAACCCCTTGCGGAGCCATACTATAGAGGTATACTGCGTTAAAATGAATAATTAGTCATAGTACGTAATGAATGTCAAATTGAGAGTTATATCCGTATATAGTCCGTCCGTTAGTAAAATGCGAATTAGAGGGGCCATCTCTCTACGATCCTTCATGTAAAAGAGTCCCCTAGACTTCACATTCTGCTTCTGGATTCGACCGATACTATTTTCGAATCTGCCTCCACGAGATCTTATTCAGAAAAATTGACAAAAATTTCAACCTATTTTGATGTCATGCAATAAATAAAAGTGCAGTGAAACTATCGGTTAATGGTTTACTTTTCATACTCAATTGTGTTATTCACTGTGATTAATTGAAATTAGGCGAATCACTCGAAATTAACGAATGGGATTATTTGAACGTTTGGAAGACTATTGGCTGGCAGTCATGTAAGCATCTACAGCTTCAACTATTTTTAAATTAAATTTATGTTACATATATGGTAAACAAAAATCAGCTAACGGTAACCCAACGTGGCTCATTAGGTAGACTCCTGATTGCAAGGAGATAAAGAAAAATATAAAAGTCTACTTTCACTGTCGAGGATCACTCAATTTCTGACAGCAATTATCACCATTGTGATAAGGTGGTTCGCTTATGAGATCACTTGTAAGACACTGACCTCAAGGAGATGCTTAACATTTGTGTGAAAAATTGTCAAAGTATTTATTGACTAGTATACAAGATATATGAAATAGAAGTAGCTAAAAATGCACTTTATACATATACTTTGCATGTTGAAATAGCAACATATTTTGATCTATATTTCTCAGCCTCTAAGCGGTAAAAGTGGGCGGAAGTTTTAGCAGGCACTTTTTTTTACATAAAACATTACTGCAATGATTTTTGAATCACTTTTTTACTACACTATTTTAACAATGTGATATGAAAACTTGTAAAATGATGGATCTCTGTCCTGTCGCTTGCTTCAGAGATAATAGCTTATGTAGGAAATATTTTTGTAATGAACGATATAGATATTTTAAAAAAATAAGAATTACTATTATTACGATCCTAAGCGAATCACCTTAATGTCTTGTTACTTTTTCTGAATGAAGCCCCAGCAGATATGACTGTTTGCCGTAAAGGTGTACGACATGAATGAACTCTCAGAAAGAATCGAGGAACCATTTTATAACACTCACACACTATTTTTGGCATTGTCGTGTTTATCTCATTACATGCGTTTCTGGATTGCGCTTTTTCATATGTGAGAGATCCGTGCGCGTACGTACGTAAAGCGCATGCGCGCGCGCTAATATAACGATAGAGATTTTATCTCTGCTTGATAATAAATAAATATATATATATATATATATACACATACACACACTATTAATTCACTACGAAGTCCTAAATTTTGCGTAACACGAAATACCTTTATATAAAATCTTCCTCTTCTCTTTTTTTTTTCTCTTAACAAATCGTGTTAACGTTTCGAAGTTCGATTGTAGTATCGTTGTTGCTTTTTTCGGGATGCTGATTGGCCAGTTGACGCGTGTGAATAACTTTTTGACAGTCAGGGTTACTGGCGGCACGATACATATTTACAGATATCAAATGAACTGAAATGTATGGGTTAATCTTTTAATTTATTGGTGAAAAATTAATGAAATACAGATAAGTCTCAGGCTGACTGATATTAAAAAGAAAATATGTAATACAGTGAGTTAGTATATATCAATTAATAAGAGCGTTGCAGCACTGAACAGGAAAAAAAAGAGATGACACAAAATTAAACGGTTAATCAATGTATGGTTGAGTGACTGTCGAAATGAGCTTGAGTGGGTCAGATCGATTAAAAAGATATGCTGATTCCTTAAAGAAAGGGTTTTTTTTAGTGTAGAAAGACGTTATTATCGGTTTTATAATAAAGTAGTTGATTTTCGAAAATGCTGCTGTTCAAGAGACACATGTTGGTTCAGAGAGTATCTTATCCGTGAAAATCGTCATTGGTTTACCAGTAACGTGGTGTGATTATGAAATATTTGTTATGTTTAGAAATTAACTAACTTATACATGAAAGAACTGATTGATTTAAAGATACCTTAATCAATTTTAAGAACGTGCATGCAAAAATACTGGTGTAAATTGGTTGCTCGGTACATGAATTATAATTTCATAAGATATACAGCGTGTCAAACTGTATATTTGTTCAGAGCGGTGCAGCGCTGTTGCCTTTTGTCGCGCGCGATGCGCGCATGTTGCTCTAGTGTGATAAAAAGAATATAGGATATTTAAATATTATACTATACATATATATATATATATACACACACCACACACATACGTGATAACGCAAGATGTTCCTCGGGTAACGTGCTTCTGTTTTTGCGAAAAACTTTTATACCTTCATTTTTCCTTCTTTTTCTAGTGCTTGACTTTGCTCGCCATTTGTTTAAAGGATATTTTTACTCGACACGAGTTCACATGCATCGAGTTCGGTTCTAGGAGAAAAAAAGTTTGCTAATTATTTTTAGTTATTAAACCACACAGGATATGTAACATCGAGCGTTTAATCTGACGTTGGAACGTCTGCATGTCGCCATTGTTGAAAATCGTTTTCTTTTTTTTTTCTCACAAAAGTTAACATACATAACGTATCATTAGCCTGTACTGTTTTATAATAAAACAAGACTGTGGAAATACAGGTGTGACGAAGAGAGACAGTTGCATTAATTATCTTTATTGTCGTTTGAGCATCCTAAATATACCTTCGTAGTTTGAACAGTGATATGACTCTAATGCCGTATCCACACGTGAATACTCAATGCCATACTTACCGACGAAGAGTCAACTAAGATCTTTCGTTGATCCTGGAAATATAAATTTTATGAAAAACAATATTCCCAAACGATACGTGCTTACCTCTGATAGGCCAAATTTTTGTATTTTGGGCTCACTCCGAGTTTCCGTTAAACTGCAACGACGTAAATCTGTAAAAATACGATTTAATGCTAGAATAGAAGTACCGTCTCTTTTCAATTGATAGAAGAAAAATGTCTAAGGCAACATGGCGATTAACGTATGTCGTCTTAGACACTTTTACTCCCAAATAAGGTTATATTTTGAAAAATAATATCATTGCGTACTTAGAAGTTTTCTCTCGCGATAACTACGAACCTAACTGAAGAGTGGAAGAATCTTAATTCGGTCGACCTACGAATACGATTTTCCAAATTTCACAGAAGGATTAGTAATTATCGAAAAAAATGTATGAAAAGACTCGGTCGAGTCTCGCACCAAGTGTATCCGTTTAATGAGACGAACGAGAGACCACATGTGCTCGGCATGAGAGGAATTATGAAAAAAAATATATATATGTATAAGGTACTCGAAAGACACTGGGAAGAATAATAAAAAATAAAATGTCTCCTAGTCATCCGTGAAAATGAATAGCCATCACTGCAAGAATAATCGAAACCAATAGGTTATCGTTAATAAAAATCTTGGACACCCAGGCAAATCCTAATTCGACGTGAGATAAATATGAATTAAAAAAAAGGCGTACTTGAACTTCACCAAGTAAATCCACGTGGTTATATGAAATGGCTGGATGGATAAGCTGTAACAATTGACAGTCAAAACTTCTATTGGATAAGAAAGGTTTCTCAAACTTACCATATATGACAACAGACGACAGAATCGTCGAGTGAACACGTATTCGCGCGTACACCTGGGTGCACGGGTTAATGGGACTAGAGCTACGTAGAAGGCAGTGGATGCCATGGAAATCCAAAAGATTTTGGAACAGTAGTGCGAAGAGCCAGGCGATCGCAAGCGAAGTATAAATAAACTGTCATCCCATTTCTTCATTTCCAAAATTCTAAGGAAAGTCGCATCCCCGGTTATATACGAAGATCCGCAGGACTTCTCGAATGAGACTCACGTATTCCCGTCGTCGTGAGACTCGGTCGAACGAGAATGAGTGAACTAGGCGGAAGACGTGTGGAATGATACATTAGAGGAAAAAAAAGGAAAAAAAAAAAATTGTAATGAATTTAAGAAATTATGAAAAGACCTATAGTAAAGTATTCTCACCTGAAGGTACCTGCGATGTGAACGTGACTTCCCGTGAGCTCAGAACGACCAGCCATCCAAAGACCCAGACCACAAACACACCTCTGTTAAATGGTAAATTCACAAAGAGCACAAAAATAAAACACAAAACGACCCAGGTGTTCGTAGTCAAATTGAATTTGAAGTTTTATTCAATCACTATCATGAAATTGTGGTTATACAAGAATGTCATACAATGCACAGAATCATCCTGGAGATCTACGCTGGCGAGAGGAAATATGTTTACCAAAAGAAAAGCCCAAACAAAACAAAATTTAATAAGGAAGAACGAATAGAGCAAGAAGTCGAGGACGACGTTGCATGTGTCAAAAACGCGATTAACAGAGTTGAGAATTGAGAAATTTGGAAAGACATCTTTCGTGCAGAGTACAGACTGTTTGGTAAACATACTGCGGTCCAGAATGCGCGCGAGAGAGATAGATAGAGAGAAAGAGAGAGATATAAAAAAAGGATAGTAACGATGCTCTCAGGATCACTAATGATAATAAAACCGCACCTCGTATGACGGATAAAGATGAGTGAACCGAGATGAACTCTATTACCTAATGCGAATAGATTGTTACGCTCGTACAGCCTTAATCAGGATAATTAACGATAATCGTGGCATAGAGAGAACGCACAAAAAGAATTAAAAAAAAAAAAAAAAAAAATCAGTAGATCAGCAATGACTGCAGTAAAACACTGGCACCTCCTCCACCCACTGCGTACGTTAAAGATCCAAAGTATCGATCCAGGAGGAATTTCACGAGATGGAAGCTCCAACATAAAAGAAATAAAAAAAAAAAAAAAAAAAATCAGTAGATCAGCAATGACTGCAGTAAAACACTGGCACCTCCTCCACCCACTGCGTACGTTAAAGATCCAAAGTATCGATCCAGGAGGAATTTCACGAGATGGAAGCTCCAACATCCAATTGGTCCATATGCATCTCCGCCGAGTGACAGTATAGGAAAAATTTCGGTTCTCATTCCTGAGGAAGCTTATCGATCGCAACGCACTGTAAACTCTTGCGGATTGTCGCACAGAGTTCTTTTCTTTTTCTTTTTAATCGTTAATGAGCCTCCCTCTAGTACCTATTAACAATCTTTGTTGGAGCGTCGAAAATAATTCTTTTCCCCGTCAGACAGCCTAAAATTGATTTTTCTTCTTATTCTTCTTAAATTCCCACTCCTCGCTTCGGTTATCGTTTACTCATTGTTGTCGCCATCACGATGATAATAACTTATAAATAAAACGCTGGATTTATCGCAAGTAGAGGTACCCTAACATACTGTGACACCTATGACTTATGTAGAACATTACGAACCTAAGCCTAAGAGCTACTAGCTCGAATCAATCACTCGGTGAACGATTAAGAAATGAAACGAATTTTGGATTAATAAACCCATTGAAGGAGACATGAGCGTCGCGACGCTAAAAAATATTTATCCATGCGAAATATAGGTAGCTGCTAAAGTACGGGGAGAGGCGATAGATCGGCCGCTGCTATAATACCTGGAGCGTTCGACGTTGAACATAGGTGATGACTGACGGTGATACTGTCAACGACGTACACATCTCTGTCTCTGGATATATATTGTAAAAACACACAACCCGAAGCAATCTTCAAGTATCGTCATCGAGAGCGAAAAAAAAAAATGCTGCGGAATTCGTAGCCAACCTGAGCCTCGTCGCCATTTGTGAATAACTTACTGTCAAGCGTGAAACTCTGCGGAATTCTGTATAAATTTTACCTTAACTTCGAGCTGTAGTTTGTGCATCTAGTAAATACGAACGTCGATCGTCCTGCCATCGATGCGCGATCGATTCATCATTGCTGTACGATAACGTAGGTTAAGGAAACGTCATGTCTGATCAATATTATATATACAGCTAGCTACGACGTAACCTGCCATGTTAATAGAAATATGTATTTTCTTTTAAAGGATACCAACAGCACGCTCCGCGTCCCATTCTGATGCAAATCGTACCATTCCCATGTCCGATCCCCTCATTTCAGCAAACTTTACTTCGCCGACGTCTTGGAATTTGTCACGTAACATTTGCCACGTTGTGCTCGGAGGAAGCTAAAAGAATTTAGTATGAAGAATTGCGCTCTTGGAATTGGGCAGACAATAGATTTTTAATTACTTACATTTCCTATAAGAATGGTGTCAGACGATGGCCGACCGCCATTACTGTTTTGTCTGTTACCTCCGCCAGACTGTCCTTGATTTCCGGCGAAGCCACCATTACCACCGGAAATTCTATCTCCGCCATCATTTCTGTTAAAACCTCCATCGAAATCACGACCGCCACCGTAACTCGAACCTCCGAACGCATTATTACCCCCGAATCCTACGTCATTGTCCATTTTTCCTAGTCCTCGGGGCGCGAAGGAGTTGTTTCCTTGTCCACCCGCGAGTGACGCTTGGAGACTTGATAACCCACCAACTCCACCCCCGAAATTGTTTAGATTGGAGGCTAATTCGTTTGTAAGGGATGAATTCAAAAGAGAATTCGTCGTTAGGTTTGCACCTAAACCACCAGCTAGGCTGGCTTGAAGTGCTGCTGCGTTTGAGCCTGATAGCGCTGATGCTAAGCAAAGAAATTACAGCTTCAGCTTTAGTCGAATGGTTCCCTAAAATAGTACACATAGAACTGTTTGTATTTGGCATACCTAATTGCGCAGGTACGACACTGTTTAATCCGGCGCCAAAAGCACCTGTGGCTAGAACCGGTGCCGAAATAGAATTCACTACCGGTGGATTATTTGGTTGTACGTTTGGAATATTTCTTGCGACATCCATCAGTCTGTTTCCACCAGCTCCAAGTCCCATACCGATACCCTTTAGGCCTGAGAAAATGTGAAAATATTTATCAGTGTGCAACTGGAATGGCCATTTTAATAGATGGAGACTTTGCAGAATTGCATACCTTCAGGCAATTTTGGTGGCATGTCTGGTTCGTTTGCTCTGTCAAGACGTACAGTCATTCGTCGATCAAAGAGTTGCTGATTGTGAAGCATTGAAATTGCCTGAACTGATTCTACTGGATGATCGTATTCAACAACACCGAAGCCACGTGACTTTCCATCCTTATCTTTGCCCAGTTCGACATGCAGCACTTTTCCAGCTAACTTAAACACTTCAAGAAGCTTCTTCTCGTCCACTTTGTAGTCTAACTAAAGACCAATGCAATATTTGTGTTATTATACGAAAATTTGATTATGACAGAAATGAAGAAAAAATCATATTTATTGTGAGAGTAAGATCAGTTAATAAAATATTGTAAACTTACGTTTGCTACGAAAACTCTAGTAACCAATGGGCCAGTAATACCAAGGGACTCCAGAAATTGTGTGCTAAGTCCGTATGTGTTGCCAAATTTGTTATCGCCATTACCAACCGGAGGAGTTGGCATATTCTGTCGACCACCAGTTGGCCGTGGTGGTTCTCTGAACCTTTCATCACGCACTCTATCATTATTTCTTGCAACGCGACCATACTTGTCACGTTCAGCGTCATAATCCTATAAAAATATAGTAATATATAATAAATATAAAATATCATTCTGAACGATGTTTCGATTGATAAACTCTTACTTCTTTTACTACAAGTTTTCGTCCTTTGATATCAAATCGATGCATTTTGTCCACAGCTATTTTGACAGAATCAGAGTCCTCAAATTCGACAATACCACACCCTCTAGGCTTGTCATTCTCGTCTGTAAAAAGCTCAACATGTGCAACTTTGCCAACTTCCGTTCTGAAGAGGTCCTTCAGATCTTGCCATCGGAAGTCATAAGGAATATTCGACACGTAAATGCGACGATCGGATACTTTTCTGCCACCCCCAACACGGTCATTGCGTTCCCTACTACGGTCACGACTACCAGAATTCATCCGATTCTGCCTATCTGACCTTCTGTTTCTATCACGTTCTCTGCTGCGATCTCTGTCATCGTTATTTTGCATTTGAGACCTAGTAATATTATAATAATTAATAAATTGAATCTTCTACTGAATGTTCTTTAAGTAGTTCATTATAATAATGCCACATATATATAAATCTATATATTAAAATAATCATAATTCATCATAAACAATTAACAGTTTTAAAGCAGGAGTACTGTATATCAAACATTGTTATGTAAAACCTAAATAGAGCTTCATTATAGATTCAATATGACTGTTACTAAAATTCTAGAATTAGTTCTATGCTTATAAGAGTTTATTATGAATCAAAGCAAAAGGCGGATATCGAAACAAGTGTGTCAGGTTTTGAAAACTAACGTTGTACCACCGGCAATCACAAGAATAATAATAAACGTAATATAGTCTGAACTTGTTTTTCTAATCTAATCATAAAGCAAAAATTATATGTAGAGAATGCAAAGTTTAAGGTTATAGTTTACAACGTATTGCATAGTCTCGTTCACGCGACGGTAAAACACGCGCCGAATATCAATAGCATTCTGAGTATTTCATAAAAGAATTGATTCCACTTACTCCTCTGTCTTCATCATGGCGGCAATCTCTTTTTGCTAAACGCCAATAGAAATAAATTCGATGAATAATGTTAAAAACCCAAAATTAGAAAGAGAAAAGCGTTGCACACACAACTACACGCCAGAGCGAAGCGTCTTACAAGATGGCGACCAACAGAGCGCATTGAGCGTACCGGAAACCGTAAAAATAGAAACAAGAAAATGGCCGCAATTATTCACTCATTACTTGAATTCGGCATTTTCATGTCTGAAACTGTAAATCCTTAAACAAAGATAATTCCTCTTATAGAATAAATGAAAATTACAATTTTAATTTTATACAAGACACAGCTCGCTTATTTATTGAAATTTATATGAATTTATAACGGCCCCACTCATATCACACGTCGTTTGCTGAACTTGTATGCGTATCTAATGATCATAAATGTGACATATAAAAAGATATAACGTTTTAACAAAATACTTCTGTTTGTAAATAAATTTTTCAAGCTTTGAGAAATGTTAAGCGTTTAAATTTTCATGCCGATGCCTCCCGTGAGGGCGCCACTTATTCCCTGCTACGCGTCGTCCGCTATGTTCCGCTTCTCAAATAGCAGAAGACACCTATTCCCGGCAGCCAATCACGTTCTCTAATCGTTCCTCTTTTCTCGACCACGGTATCGGGTCTGACGTGTGTAACTATATCTGGGTGGTTACGAAGAATTTTTTTATTGAGAATAATTAACAGAATGGCAGCCCAGTGGATACGTAAAGCCGTAAGTAATACGGACTATTTTGAAATTGATCTGAGTGGTCGTTATCCTGTCCAGACTCCCGCTTCCTCCCAGATGAAAAGGTTAGAAATTCGCACATAGTTTGGTTATATATACGGCCGTCTGCTTTATCGTCATTCATAAAATCACTACTACGATATATTTCATATTCTCTTTTGTCGATCGTTACACTTGATCAAATAAATTAATCTGTCTGTCTGTCTATAATTTTCTTTCAGCTTTTCTTGCTTCTTTTAGATCCTCGTTCCATTCTTTTTCCTGATCTTTTCCTCTCTTTCCTTCTCTGCATCTTTATCCCCTTTCCTGTTCATGCTTTAAGAACTTTGCTTATGATGTGCTGCGACTACACTTAAAACCGCATTTTTCTCTCGGTTTCTTTAATAACAGATCTCTCCAAAGCTTGGCAGGGTACGACTGTACAGCAGTAAAGTTCACAAATGTACTCTTATACCAGGAGATGGTATTGGACCCGAGATTTCGGCTGCCGTGCAGAAAATCTTCGACGCAGCCAAGGTGAACTATTTTTATCATTGGTGTCTATGCTTTTGATTTTTCGAATGATTTTGAGCGATCTAAGTGATAAATTCAGTAGGAATGTTACTTAGATACTGTCATGAAATTTTTTTACATGCAGATCTCTTAACAATGCTCATAAATTTATTGATGAAGATTTTCATTTGGGACAATATTTATGGAAGAATGAACTCTGATTACTTTTTGTTTCAGTTAATTGTTTTTTGATTGTTATTTTTCAAGGTAACTGCATTTGTCCTAGATCTGACCTTAATTGGTTTATCTTAATCCTGTGACAAAGCTCAGGTTAACTAAAGTATAAATTATAGACTTATATCTATCGGATGGTTATTGATAATGGTATCGAACAAACAAAATTTCACAATTTGGTTTACAGAAATTTTGTACTTATCTATTAAATTTTTAGGAAATATACTACACAATGTTTGTATACTTTCTCCATCAACTGGTTATCAATTAGAAAGCCTTCGATTTGTGTACATGTAATAATTCATATAAATAATGTCATGATTCTAAAATCTATATTCTACATTTGTATGTCAATCGCTTACTAGGTACCGATAGAATGGGATACTGTGGACGTAACACCAGTGCGTGGGCCAGATGGCAAGTTTGGTATCCCACAAGCAGCTATCGATTCAGTTAATAGAAATAAAATTGGGCTAAAAGGACCTTTAATGACTCCAGTTGGAAAAGGCCACAGATCTCTTAACCTGGCACTAAGAAAGTAAGTATTGTATTGCTCTTATGTAATCATTGTAAACATGAAACAACAAACTTATTAACGTAACAAGTAATCTACTAAAATTATATCTATGATCTTGATATAACAGTCTTGCATAAGTTAACTGTTATGTAATCATGGCTTAATCATAAAAGGCAATTTCATAGGACTTGAACATACATTATTATCTTAATCAGTAGAATTCATAATTATCATTATAAAACTTTATCAGCAATGATTATGGATATTCGTATAACCATACTTCTCTCTACAGAGAGTTCAACTTGTATGCTAACGTACGCCCTTGCCGTTCGTTAGAAGGATACAAAACACTTTATGACAACGTGGACGTTGTCACAATCAGAGAGAACACAGAAGGTGAATATTCTGGTATCGAGCACGAGATTGTCGACGGCGTTGTGCAGTCCATTAAGCTCATCACTGAGGACGCTTCACGCAGGGTAGCAGACTTCGCCTTCCAGTATGCTCAAGACAATAACAGGAAAAAGGTTTCTTTTTTTATCTATTCACGTATATGTAAAATAAAACTGAACTATATTCTTAAAAGTTTATTCACTAATAGGTAACTGCCGTCCACAAAGCGAATATCATGAGAATGTCCGACGGTCTTTTCCTACGCTGCTGTCGCGAAGCAGCTGGAAAGTTTCCATCTGTAAAATTCGAGGAAAAATACCTAGACACGGTTTGCTTAAACATGGTTCAAGATCCTAGTCAATACGACGTGCTAGTTATGCCTAATCTTTACGGTGATATCCTGTCGGACATGTGCGCCGGTCTCGTAGGTGGTCTTGGTTTGACACCTAGCGGAAATATTGGTCTCAATGGTGCTCTCTTCGAATCCGTAAGTAATACTCTGGATTCTCGAAAGCTTCTTAAGTATTTATAAATTTTATTAATTTATTTGTTATCTCATTCTGTATGCACAGGTGCACGGTACGGCACCAGATATTGCTGGTCAGGATAAAGCCAATCCAACGGCTCTCTTATTGTCTGCCGTGATGATGCTGAAACATATGGGCTTGAACGAACAAGGCAGGATCATCGAACACGCCGCATACGACACCATCAAGGAAGCTAAGTATCTTACGGGCGATCTTGGCGGTACTGCCAAATGCAGCGAATACACCGACGAGATTTGCAAGAGAGTTGCGTCGCAGATTAAGTAATTGAAAATTTCTGGTATTTAAGCAAACTGCCAAATACTCGTAGATTTTTTGTCCACGGAGAGACGCAGCTTTCCGACATCCCCAGCATCGTCATCGTGACTCGCACGACAGCGCGTACCTTGACAATTTTAACGGCAGATCAAAGAACAGGACAATGTAGATACATTTTTCGTTGTAACTTTCAACCGAGTCCATCGTCTTTATTTTTACGTCCTAAAAAATAAGCCTAACGATTGTCGTCCGATAATAACCATCTGCTGACAAGAGCGGCATTTAATATCATTTTACTGGGAATGCTCGTGTATGGAGAAAATTTCAAACTTTCACGTATATATACTGCGCCTTAGCAAATTGTTCATAGTCACAGGCGATTCGAGTCATAGTACACACTGTAAAGATTAGCTGTGTAAATTAATATAAGTAACACTGTGTATAACGAATATATATAAAAGGTTGTAGGGACGTCTGAGTGATAAGTTCTCGATGAGGAGCATCAGTAATGAACATGTTGTGCAGTATTATCAATTAATAAAAACAACATAAAACCATAGAAGACTCTTATTTCTCATCAAGTATATCATAGTCCCAACATCACCTACAGATTCTCGGACCATCTTATGTAATAGCATAGAGTATAAGATTTCCCTTCACATAAGAATTATGCGATTGTACATAACCATGCGTATTGTTGCTCAATATTAATAGCAATAATGTTCACTTTAATTGTCTTATTCAATTTCCTCACTCCTTTCCTTAATATTCATAACCATATACGTTCTTACCAAGATGGAGGATCAGGACATTCTTGTGAAAAAGAGGGCATAATGTCTCACTTCGAAGACACCCTTTTTCACCCTCTCCCCCAATATCAACAGGAGTCCTCTAGTAGGCACTTGGTGCTTCAACACCCTCTGCTCTCTTCTTCTCATCCCCTTATATCACCACCGACGTTATCCCTGCTGTTATGTTATAGCTAGCCCCTCCACCATCCCCCTCTTACACCCTTGCGTTACCGTTTCTACGTAGCCCCTTTGTGGAACAGTATCTTTCATAGGAAAACTCCCAAGTATGAGAAAAGTTGGCGGCTATATTTCACAGTCGCGACTTCGTTCTATACCAGGAGGCTGCGAACCGCCGGGGAAAAGATGGAAACCCAGTGTCATCTTCGCTGCTCGTTAATTCCCTTGAGATTTATCAGAATTCTCCGAGTGAATAATGACGCGGTGCTTATAAATTTTAAATATTGAATTTTTCGGGTGATTAATTCCTCTTTTTTTCTCTCTCTCTTTCTACTTCGTTCACCCTTACATTCTCTGAGTATCTTCTTCCACTTCTTCGTCTCATATCCTTGTACTGTTCCCACCCTCCATCCGACTTGGCTTTCTTCTCCCCTCCGCCGTTGATATTCTTCCATTCTTTTTTAATTTTTTAAGTTTAATATACAGATATTGCAAGCTTTATTTTTTTTTGTCAACTTGAACGATAGACTTTTCATGAATGTCTTATTCAGGTTTACAGTGTATTTGAAAATTGTGCATTTTGAACGGATGAAGATATATTAAGGGAATATTTCTTTTTGTTGTTGTTGCTAAAGAATTTTTAGTTAAAAATTTCTTGAGATCATTGTCAATTTTTTACACAGTTTAATAACAGGATAGTCGCTTTTTTCATCTTTGATTGATAATCTATCTGAATGTCTATGTATATACGTATATGTATATGTAGATACGTCCTATCAAGACCCAAGATGACAAGTAAATCCTGTATTCTGGTTAAAATTTGTCCTACAGTTAAACTTCGAAGTTACCATTCGTTCAAATTTTACCCAGATTAAATCGCAAAAGATAAATTCTAATAAATCAAAATCATAAAAAATCAATCTACTCGTTTCCTAAGAATTACCCTTTACGCTATTTCAAGAAAGAAGAAATTCATTTTGTTTGCAAAATTATGCGAATATAATGGGTCGTATCGTAATATGTTCATTAAAAATATGCTAATTGCTTTAGAATTATAATAACATTTCTCAATATCAACTTTATTCGTATCTGATTCTAACACTTCTGATGAGATATAATTAACGGTTCCGAATGAGAAGCTCTACTAGTTCAAAATCAGATAAAAAGATTGGACAATGAAACAAATATACATAAACATACAAATTTAATCATCTTGTCCCGATGAATATACCGTGGGATAATAGCAAAAGTTCAAATGATAAATTCGCTCAATTATTTCTTGAATTTCTATGAAGACGTTTTCCGGCTATCATCCTAACCTACAAATATTAATTAATCAAGGCTGCGATTAAAAGACGTCAGCGACGGGAGTGGAACTATTTCAGTAATTAGACAAGACTTATATACGTATGCCATGTTAATCTATAACAATAAATACCTAGGACCATGCGTGGAAATTAAACTCTGCATGCCGTGTGATAACGTGAAGCAATTCCTGAGGCAATTAATCGACGACAACGAGTCATCTTACAGGTTGTAGGTCAGCGTGTAGGTGATCTCCCGTACGTGGGGTACACTCTAGAGTAAAGTGTAGATGCAGCGCATGCATATTCAACCCGAACTGTATAGCCGTAGGAATAATAAAAATTTGGAGGCTTGAAATTATTTAGATTTATGCCCGCACTCTTGTCCTGGTGGCGTTGGTGACGAGGAGCGATTCGATTCCAGGGAACAAATTTCATGCATTATTCAGAACTACCGCAATGCACCCCAGTCAATGGAAACGATGCTTTAAAAAAATGTCGCTTTTTAATACTTTTTCGTCCAGTATCGGTATTCGTATAAGAACGTCTAGTGCTCTGATCGTTTGTAGGAATTTTATTTTTTAGTATTTCAATAAATCTCAAACGACGGTACGGTGAATTCGATTTTATACGTTGGGCAACTGAATTGAAGGAAAAATGATTTCTCGTGGCTGTCTAACCTTAAAAGCTGAGTTTCGTGGGAAAGTCAATTAGCCATTTCGAATTTATCTTCGAGGGATTTTCTCACATTGTAAGTTATGAATAGTAGTACTAATATTTTGGACGCATTATTGACTAATTTTCGTTTTTGGCTTTATATTCCGGATTATTAATGAATTTGACGTAAACGTCAAAACTCAAATACGAATTGATCCGAATCAAATTTTGATTGAATAGACGATATAATTTGGTTCAGTTCTCCACAATTTAAATCTACATAGGATTTTATCAAGTAACGTTAATGTTTTATTTTGTTTGTTTTGCCATGACAAATAGTCAAATGAGCAATGATTAATGTAACAAGAGAGATCCTAATTGTTGTATTAGGGCTTGACATTATTCACAGGTAACCCTGTAGCTAGTATATGTTTTCATGCATTATATGGTCATTGAGTACATAAATTATGTATAATATACACTATGCATCGGGTAAACAGAAACTTACATGACTCATGCACGATTTTAAATCACTGTTATATAATTTCAAAGAAACAGTGGGCAATAATCAAATAGCTTCGAAGAAGGAAATAATGCGAATTTTGGAGGAAGCGTTCATCTCAGTGAACAATTCAATAATGACGATAATGACAAACATATCGATTGCACCATCTCTGTAATTTTTTAATTATCATACACGTGACAGTAATGCATGAAATAAATGTTTTGGTCATTTCAAATTTTATTATTCGATAGGCAAAAATAATTAAAAGAGTGAATATAATTCTCTTCCAACAGACAGTACTCTAAATTAGTAATTTTAAGCAGGATTACTTAATCGCCTTACGAGAGGATTAAACACGTTTGCTTCTCCTCAGTCCAGAATGCTGTCGCATTTCTCTTTCGAAGGTGTCGTCGGTTGCAGAATAGTTTTTCGAAAATGTCTTGGAAAACTGTTTCCTTAATAATTGTGTTCGCGATAAACATTGCCGTCGGTCGTGTCTATTATGTCGATAATATAGATAATTTGCGTAACAACAATCCTGTTTTTGGTAATCTCGATAATTTCGAGCAATCATCACGTGATTTGGACTTGAGTTTCTCTGCGGGAGATTCTGATGACAGCAATGATTTAAAGGATCACATTCGTCCTATAAAAAAGGTATATATAAATCCATTAAATCCTTTTTGTATTATCTGCAGAATTTTAACCTCAAATTGAAAAAAATGTGGATATACCTAAATTATGCGCAATGATTTTAAACTAATCTGTTATAAATTTTAATTAAAAAATGTATAATTTTGTTTTATATTTTTTGAAAACAGGTATATAACTATGCTGTTCCTGGAACCTCTCTTTTGAATGTTAATAAAGATATCGAGCATCCTGCGACTTATTACAAGATCTTTGAATTTCCTACTGGAAGAACAGCTTTTGAAGAAGTTTTACCGAATTTTGGGAGAAACAGGAAATTCATGAAAAACAATGTTCGTAAAGGTGAAGTAATATTGGAAATTCGTGTTATTGCTAATAACGATGCATCTGAGTGACATCAATGCTTTGGGTATATTTGTAAAAATTGATTATGTTGAATCAGATAGTTGACGGTAATACTTTATTTTTGTTTCCACATTGAATAAACACATTGTCCGCTGAATAATTTATGCGACCATAATTTTGACGATCTAGGTAAATTTGGCGTTACCGATTTTTCAATTAAATAAATACTTTAACGAGATACCTACAAGTTTTCCTTGTGCCATAACAGGTGCGTCCTGAAATGTACGGACAGTACTGCCAGTACCGTAGCCAACGCTGTGTCCTTATTCATCCATACGCATCTGAGAGAGACGTAATTACTTTTACAGTACTGTCAGTACATTCCGGAACTCACCCAATGTAGATTACAAAACAAGTGTCAATATTTATATATTAAATATACCGAATTGGACGATTGATTTATTTCATTAATTAATTAGTTTGTAACTTCCTTTATTTATAACATATTACAACATTGTGTTAATTATCAAGTCGTGCGTTGCTCGTCTGATCTTCTCATTTTTATAATCCACTCCGAGTCCTTATTTAGTTTATTTCCTGCTGTATCGATTATTGAATTTATTTTCTGAAACCTTAATTCAATGTGCGTTTTTCACCGTCAACTTTGAAAGTCTAGAACAATAATCCTCACAATATAGATTAGTCAGTCAGCCAGCATAATAGTGTATCATCTAATTCCAATTAGACGTCCAATGGACGTCGTATTATGAACATTCATAGAGCGTCCTACCTACTAGTATTCATAATTGGGACACTGTATACGTACACGTAGCGCTTTGTCGGCGGTGTCCATTAGCATGAACTAATGATACCCCAACGTATGATTAAGAAAATGTCGCTGGGGAAAAGCATACAGAAGTACCATATGTGATAAGGATACACGTGTACGTGTGCATGACCTAGAATATTTGTATATAACTATTATAGGTACATGTGCCGTGGTTACAAATTATGCTTGCTGTACGAGGGCGAGGATGCAGAAGATGCGTTAAAATAAAGTGAAAGTTGCATTAGGGAGAAAGGTGAGGATGAAAGAGGAAAAAGAAATTCTGTATAGTAAATGGTGATTGGTTGAATAAACGGAAGTGTAAGGGCAAAGGATAGGTTTTGCCGTGACATTTCCGTCGGGTGATTCTGAACTGTGTTATTCCGTATATAATCGCGAAAATCCCGTGTTTTTTACGATGAATATTGTATAAGAAAATTTGTGAGTTTTATGTAAAAACACTGATCTTTCATTTTTTTACGTTTTTAGTATTTTTTTTTTTTTTTTTTTTTTTTTTTTTTTTTTTTTTTTTTTTTTTTTTTTTTTTTTTTTTTTTAGTTTTTTTTTTTTTTGTAAATTAAACTTACACTTTTCTCACTACTAAATTTGTCAATTGAAATAGGAACACATTTTTTTTAACACGCTATATATACTGGTTTATCGTCATATATCATTTTCAGGGTCTGTTATCGCACAAAAGTATTCGGTAATCCGAATTATATTGGTATTCGGAATTATAACAATTATTTTTTATCATATCAAGTAATTTATGTTATCTAGCACTTGACGCTGTGTTTATTGAAAATTGTGAAGCTCTTTAATCCGAAAGAATACGTGTAATTTATTGACTAATAACAATAGATAAGATTTTCATCGGTCCAGATAAAAATAACACTGCGTAATAATAAGTCGTAAATTAATTTTAAATGAATGTTTATAGCGATTGATAAAAAACATGTTTTTGATAAAATTTAATTAAAAATTCATAACGTACTGTCCAAAAATAATTTCTATATAGATGACCTACAGCCACCGTAGCCACAAAAAAATCTTATACCAATCCAACGACACAGTAAATATGATTATCACTCACAATGATTAAATCTTCTTGATTCATTGTCTCAGTCACCGAGTAATTACCAATAATGAATCCTGACCTTTGCCCCCTAAGAAATCTCCCTGAAATCTCCATAAATGGATATCGAGCATAGAGAAAATAAATGAACTCGAGGTATCCGGATGCATATAATTAATTTCATTGATTTATTGATACGGCAAATTTACATTTCGAGTGTTACAGATTCGAGTAATACCTATTTCTAGGTTATGTACAGAAAGGTATGACCGTGCAGAGGAATTCGGATGTCTCTAGAGATCGGTAATTGTTTTTACACTAGATTCCTAAATTCCAGAGGTCACTGAATCGCGATTAAGGGTTCGCAGGAAATGGCGGAACGATACAACGAAGCGAATCCTTATCGATGCAGCAACTATGGAGACATCGATGCTAGCGCTATGATATAGTCATAGGAGTTGGAAGCAGACTTTAACAATAATTCATTCCACTATTTGTGGAGATTCTCGGGAATTTGAAAGTCCCTTGGGTTCCTTGACATAGTCCACAACCAATTCCAAACCGATTAGAGCCCGTAAATCTTTCTTCTCATCGTCCTGACCGGATGTATCCTCTTTTTTGGGTGAGCCAACTATTAAAAATGATTTAAAAAAAAGTCAAATTAACCTGATTCCTTAATGAATTAAATAATAAACATTTATTTACCTTCTGCGTTACATTGACTCCCTTCGGCATCTGACTCGGACAGATCGGTCCTCGAGTTTCGTTCCACCTCCCGTATGTCCTTATAAGTTTTGGTAAGGTTCTTCAGGATGTAGTGGGTGCCTTTTGAATTGGCATCCTTATTTTTCGAACTGCTGGCTTCGTCCCTGGTCAAATTCAGCGGCCGATTATATTCCTTGGACTGGGGTACACTGAATGCCGAACTATGCTTGCTCTTGAAAGGAAGCTGCCTCTCCGTCATTTTCCGGTCCCATATATGACCGGAAACGCGAAGGTCGATAAAGAAGTGAAGAGGGTCTATACCAGGGTACGACTGTGGCATCGGATACGGTGGATACCACAGTGGAGATGGCAGGAAGTCCGGATTGGGTACGTTCGCTGCTGGTAGGCTAAAATTTTTAACACACTGAAGATCCTCACCCCGACCTGGTAGTCCAGGAAGGAAACTCCTCGCCGAGAAGTCCAGTTTCTTCTGATCCGGTATAAACGGTAACTCGCTCGCTTTGACATTGTCTTCGAAGCTATTCTGTTCGCTAAAGCTACAATTCTTCTCCTCAGGTTTGACCTTCTGCAACTCCATGGGGAAACTAATGTCACGTCTAGAACTCGTGGATTCAGTTTCAAAGGTCCTTGGCCTCTCGTCAAAGTAATTGCTACCCTGTTTCGTGAAATCAGCTCTGTTCTCGTCAACGGGCTTAAGGACGTCGGCGCCAAAGGGTTTCTGCTCCGAGTCCTTGCTCTCGACGTAGTTCTCCACGTGTCTTCGATTGTTCTCCGCTTGGCTTTCCTGAGAATGAAAATACTTTTCGTGTCGCTCTTTGGTCGTTAGCTCCAATGGCCGATCTCTCGCGTCCCTCCAGGACCGCTTCCGGCGCCGTGGTGCCGCGTGAGCACTTCCGCTTCCGGTACTGGTATTCGCCTTGGCTTGGACGAAGGAGCGTAGCATCTCGCTGAAGAAGAAGCTGTGCGGCGTCAACGGGACGTTGTAGAGGTACGGCGGGGTAGCAGCCAGAAGACGTGAAACCAGGTCGCCGCCGGAAAGCGATGCCGGCGTCTTCAACGACGACGGATCGCCCGTCGTGGTCGTCATACTGAATCATTCACAGATTGGATTTCTTTATCGTACCTTCTTTCGCATTTTAATTATTTCATCAGATACCAACTATATACATAATCCCCAAATATTTTACAAAATTTTATCTCTCTTACCAGTTCTTCTCATTTTTTAAGGATATACTCGTCAATACGATATTCCTGTCAAGGACTACATTCGGAAGGTACGCCTATGCCACGGGACGCCATTGTCTTGTGAAATTAATTGAATAGCCCAGGCGTCTAAGACCGCGAAGGAAGATATCGAGATTTGAGGAGGGTTGCGACGACGCCGAATCCATTAAGGATTACTAATTTCTGTCAAGTGCACCACGAGCTTCCGTCGTAGTAACGTGGGTAACCTCAGAATAATAGAGAAAGACGGCGTCAGCCCGAATCATCTAAACCGTCATAATTGTATTTTTCAGCTTCCCCCCGATATTCTACAATTTTATACACAAATTACTATTGAACCGTGCAGAAGTGGAATTGAAGTGGAAGTACCTACAATCCCTCTCCAAGAAGGAGGAGACCTACGGGAGGATACTCAGACTCTCTTCGATCCTCAAAGAAATCTCGAATAAAAGTATTTTCGACTTGGAGTCTGTCTGAGGATTCTCATAGGGAGCGGTAGCAAGCAGAGAAAGAGAGAAAGATATAGAAAGGCGTATCTGCCAGTATATATTCAAGAGGGGCAAGCTTTGTTTCGGTCCATTGTTTCGCAAACAAACGGCCTCCATGTTGTTTCGTCAAGAGATATTATGTTCGGTCAGACAGGCAGGACGAACGGGAAATGGACTGCTGTCAGTTTTACCCTTCGTGATAAATACAAGCGCCACCGAGTCGAGGCCATAATTCTAGAGGGTTGACGTCGTAGATGCTCGCAAATAGTGATCCTTGGCATTCGAATATGTTTGTATATATGGTATTATGTATGAAGAATTTGAAAATTCTTAGTATAATCCATTATATTTTTCAGGTCGATCGTCAACCGAATGAAATGGAATTGGATGATTTTTAGCTGTATGGAAGAGGGCGTGAATATAATACGATCCCAGGGAAGAGATAAAACCTGGAAAACTTTATGGCGGCGTTACATTATTATTCGACGAAAGGCAAACCGGCCGCAGAGTTTCAGTTTCACGGCGCGGTTTACGATTCATAAGACAACTCGGGGATTGAATTAAGCGAGCGCCAGCTGCCAGTCCGTTCCTTCGTATCTGCTGAAAATCTCCATAATCCCGTCACCCTGACGATTCTAATTGGCGGATTGTTTCAATTTCGAAAGCCGTGAGGTCATTTGCATTTACTTTCGTCCAAATTTCAGAACAAACAGAATGGCTTTGCTGGGCTGACCGACGTATTAATATCACGCCACTCGCACGTCAACCTTATCATCCTTTGAATTCACATCCAAAATAAGGCCCGAGATATCGTGTAGAAGGGATTACCGAAAGGGGAATGGGCATTTTTCGCAACCCTTTTCCTCGTCATATTTTCACATTCTCACTGGTCATCTAACCTTTTTGCGTACGTCGAGTAGACTTGGTCAAAGTGTAATTATTTTTTTTTTTCGAACCCTTTCGGACGATTTTAATTAAGGGGAGTATGAAGGATGGTTTTTTTTTTAAAGGATAAGAGAATTTGAAAAAGACGTCCGCTGTTGGACGGAAAATCATTTTGTAATCTTTAAATTTTAATCCAGACTATTGATTTTTAGGATTTTTTAAAAATATTTTTATTTTAAAAAACTCGTATTTTTCAGAATTCGTGTAAACAATTTTATTGCAATCTACCTTCTAGGAAACAGCTTTATTTTATTGTCATGGCAACATTAAATCTTCCTGACGGATCACGTTATCCGAGTGTATAGTGATTTTTTGCGTCATATAAACTGGAGTCTTCAAATATTCTAAACTCTCGTTTGCACTCTACTTAATCATTGTATTTTCAAAAATCAAGTTAGCTATCCGTATGAAATTTATTAAAAAATTTTTCTACTTCATCAGATTTCTTCTATACCGTCACAGTACAAAATTTAAATCTTCGTAAACAGTAAATAATTCAAAACGATAATCCGAATCAATCTCACACATAGAGATCACACCAATTAACACGCAACCCCAATACTTCATCATCCCCAGCAACATTGATATATACAGTATCCAAACACCATATAAACTCTAAATCTCATAAATCGCAACATTCATCGCAAAAATGATCCATAATAATTACCAAAAAGAAAAAAATAGTTGAAAGCGCTAAAAAATAAATGGATCAAAACAGTCGCAAAGTAATTAAAAAAAAAAAAAATTATGTACAGCTTGCACTTGTAATTCTAAATATAACGAGTAATGATAAGTTAAAAGAAATTCAATACCATAGATAACCTAAAAAATTTGCCAATAATTATTATACACTTACCTGAAACGTTAATAAGTGAAGAAACCGTATCGTGTATCAAGTGCGTGGCGTATGTCCCTTAGCGATAGGGTTGTTGTCACTAGCAGCGCGGAGGGCGCGTGTAGCCTGTGCCGCCAAATGAGATAATAATCGGAGGACTCAGTCACTCGGTGGCTGTGGCGTCAGCAGTGGGGGTGTATTCCAGCCCCGGCAGCTGGTGTAGGCGGGGTGGTGGTTTTTGAGATGATCCGGCCAATCTGCGCATCATTTCCCCGTCCTACTCCGTCCGCTCACTCACTCACTCACTCATTCTGCCTGCCCCCCCCCC